GGCGGGTATGATTCACAGGCCTCGGAGAATGAAGTCATCCTGATAATGAAGGTCTCAATCATTTTTGTCGGAATAATGGCGACCGCGATGGCCCTCACGGTCAAATCCGTCTACGGTCTCTGGTACCTCTCCTCGGACTTGGTGTACGTAATTCTGTTCCCGCAACTGACCTGCGTTGTGTATCTCAAAAAGCATGTCAACACATACGGATCCCTCGGTGAGTACTCGGTCCCGCTAGGAGATGGTTGTATGAAGGATGATCTGATCATGAACCCAATCCGAGTGAATCTGTGATCGCGGGCGATCATCTTGATGATGCAACGTTCCTCACCACTTCCTTTCCTTCCGCCAGCCGCTTACATCGTTGGCCTCCTACTCCGAGGTCTAGGCGGGGAAGCGATCCTGGGCCTACCCGCCGTCCTCAAATATCCATACTACGACGAGCAACTCGGCCAACTGTTTCCGTTCCGGACCGTAGCAATGCTGTGCAGCTTCTACACGCTTGTGCTGGTATCCTGGCTATCGAAATGGCTTTTTGAAAACGGACGTCTGCCCCCCCATCTCGACGTGTTTCACTGCGTGGTCAATATACCAGAGGACATCGTCAAGGTTCAGGAACCTCAAGAGGAGCTCACTGTGCTCAACTCAAGTGAGTGAATACGATTGATACTCGGTGACGCATCTTTGGTCCGTTCTAATGAGGGTCCTCCAATGACTGTCCGGACTTGAGGGAGTATCTCAGGAGACAGGAGACGGGAGAAGTCATCCCGGGAATTTTTTCCCGCTGCAGGCCTACAAGGAGCCAAAACGTACCAGACCGAGATGAATGGTCGTGTGAACCCAGCGCTCAACCTTCACCCGGAGTTAATCGATAGGGGAGATCCTCAGCTGGCATCTCCAGGCTGCCTCACCCCTGCTTCAAACAATCTGCCCACTCAGGCTATTCAGGCCGAGCAGGGCACAGCTCATCTTTAGCAAGTTTCACCCTAACGAGCAGTCACAGGATCCGGGAGACAATCGTGTGTCCACGCTCCCCTCCTTCCCGTGGTGGACTGTCGAATCCGATCAGAGCGGAAATTAATCAATCATCCCTGAGTCGATCGGAGTCATCGTCGGTCAGACAGTTTCGACAATCGACCGTTGTGAGTGTCGACGGTCAAAGCGATTTCTCCCGGGAGCATTCGACGGAGCCACGGTCTAGAAAGGATGACTTCGATCTAGGTAGATTCGTGAGTTCAAGGAAGTCTCGGGAGCTGTCGACTAGGCGCAATGTAATGAGGTCGCGTCCGACAGGGATGACGTCCTCGCGTAATGATTCCAATCTCGATTTGTCCGAGGAATAGTTCGGAGTCACACACATAATTAGTGATTCAGGATGAATTTTCAAGGGTCATTCCAATAATACGTACACATCGTTTGATGCAATAGAGAGAGTGTAATCCGAGGAATTCGAAGTTCTCCAACGCGTCGGAGAACAGGTAAGAGGAATCCGCCCTGGTAAACAATCGGGCTTGAGAGCTCGTAACTTGTACTGTTTTGAGCGATAACCACATTATATATTGTAGCGAAGACCCACAGAAAAAGTGAGATTTTTCCCACATAGTCGGACCAGAAGCCGCAACAGTGAGAGCTTTACGCAATCGTGATTCGCGCGGAATATGAGAAGTACCAAGATATGGTGATACCCAAAGAACATGGATAATAGCTTACCCCCCAATCAAGCTGGCTCTGTTCCCGTGTCGCGAATCCATTCTCTGAGGACTGAACGCACGCACATGCCGAGACATGGATGAGCGTCCCGGGAACTGCACGGATCCGGATAGATTGATGAAGTAATCGCAATTGTACCACTGGTAGTGGAAAAGCCGATCGCTTCCGTAGAATATGATCAAGTAATCGCAGCTCAAGGACGCAAATCGTGGCTCCGATGGTATGATGGAATTCCGATCGCAGCCACGTCCTAGGAACTGGCATCTCGCCGCAGGGTTCCGAAGTTCCGCGGAGGGTCGAAACGGCCAGTCCCGAGTCTTCAGCTCTGGACGGGCTTGCGGTGAGAGTCCCCTGAGATGGTTCGAGACTCGGTATTTCCTTTGGTGACGATTCGTGAATATGGTCTCGTCGGGAGACGCTGGCGCCATTCGCGATCGGGGCTGCGCCTACAGAGCTGGGAAATTCCTACTGCTGGATGAGAGCTCAGGCATGAGCAATCTTCAAAGCAGTCTAGCTCATCGATTTCGTCATTCCTCTCTAGAAAGACACGAGAACTGATAATTATCGAGTGGAATGTATCATGAAGACTCGAGCAACCCGTCTCACTCAGAGATGCAGGAAAAGCTCAGCGGTATGTTTACCCAATCGTGAGAGTCAGAACACATCGCGATGGGAGAGTGGAGGGTCATCCTTAACGATCACGGCCGAGACGAACTGGTAATGACGCGCCTTTCCGCGGCCTGGAATCTGGGGGGGGGGCTCTGCTACCACCGGTTCGCTCTTGCTCGGAATGATTTCATCCACAATCAGGGCTTCTGACGATTGCTATAATCAGCTCAGTCGGAGGTCCCTTTTTAGCTTCATGGAAAGTATACATATATACATTTATCGATATCGACGGATACATAAACGGATGGAGATTTATACACCCAGAGCTCGAAAGAGGTGACATGAAGTGAGAAGATGACGAACACCATGTCGACGTCATCGATAAGCGGTCATCATTCCGCTCGAATTAGTGAGATCTATCTTAGCTCGTTCGCCAATCATCTGAATAACCTATGAAGAGTGTCTCTGCAGGGTGAACGATCGTAGAAACTTGCATACTAGAAAAGGTATACCTATACTGTGTTGAATCTTATGAGTCTGATTATGTACTCTTGTTATGTGGATGATATACTTTATCCAATCTTATTCAATCTGTGATATTGCACTCTACCTTGAGTTTATGTGGTTGTCCATGACTGATGATTTTGACGAGGCCATAGTGACGCTTGAAAGCTGCTTGATATCCACAGTACTATCATTGGAAAATATTTCCTCATGATGATGTCTTCCGAAACGATTCCACGACTCTATCGTCCGTGTAGGTTCTGTCTGTTGAAGCTTTGTTGGAATCTCTCGGCCTCATCGATAGTTCTTCCACATTCGGATTCATTAGCTTCCTTCGACATCTGACTCTCGGAAGTTGCTTCCACACATCACGGGGACCCAGTGAGATTCCCATGGTTCAGCCTGTTCTGAATCAGATCGAGACTCTCTGCATGAAAGACCTTGATTTCGGACGTACATGCGACTATTGTACTCCCCAGAATAATGAGCTGAGATTAAATCAAGTCCAGCTGGTGGCTCAATTTCGGAGCCGCGAGCTGCGTTCAGAGTCAATCCGAAACAAGTAGGCAGCCTAACGGTCAGCAATATTCGTAGGACGAGAAACTAACTGTATTCGCCCATTAACGCCATGAATAAAAATGTGAATTCCTTCAAGCTAAAACACGTCGATACGCTTTCTCGTCAATCTCAATAGAAGCACGAGCGAATCTCGGATGCTCTCTCGTGACTTCTCATTCCATAGGTGGGCCAGATCGACGAGGGACTCCCCTTAATTGTCACTGAGGGACATTTGGAAATCCCAAGAATGAATTCGGCTAAAATAGGGTAAAATATATTTATTTCTCATGATCTGCTCTGTAACAATTGGCTGATTGGTAACGTCTGGATCGCTTGAGGTAGCAGGTGAACATCGATTTCAACTTCTTCCGGTTTTGACCGCCGGTCCTCACAGAGTTGTCTTAACCCGGATTTTCTACTCTTATGTAGCTCGATAGGGTCCAAAGTTCTGGACGCGGCTCCGTAGCATTTTGTCTCTATTGATACGGCCAAACAGAAACACGAATCCTTCAAGATGATCGACCAATTGACACCGAAGTTCCAAATTAGGGGAGCTCCTGAGATAATCGGCTCAAAACCTCCTTCCTTCGCTACCTGAGCTTCCCAGGTCCGGGAGAAGTCCTCCACTCCGGCCAAACGAATGTCCGGTTCAGAAAGAGTGGTCATTTCCGACGCAGCGATGCGGACAAGACGCCCCGTGCGGACTTTGAGGACTTCGGTTCCGGGAGACCATGGGGATTACGTACGCCCCGCCCACTAAACTGCAGCTCCATCACCGTATCCTCCCCGTGGAGGTCCGTAATACTGTTCATGCGTATCGCAGGCGTCTCCCCGCATGTGAAATTTCAATCGGCCCTCGGTGAATTTGCGGAGGGGAACGAAATGGTGCCTGGACTCTCCGAACCCCTAGTTTTCACGGGACGTCGTCCATTCGCGATCTCTGGGGCTTCGGTGAGTTTTCAGCCAATCATCCGTTTCGCTATTCCGCAAGTACTCAATCTGGGTGAGTATCCTCCATGCAGAAGACAAGCCGTCGATTCGCTCTTTCTTCAATCACAAGGAGTTGTGTGTACGTGTCTATCGATTTCTTCAAAATCTATCGATTCGAACAGATGAAGATTTTGAAATCATTCGAAACACAATGACCGCAGTAGGAGTCGACACACAAAACGATAAGAGTCTGCGATATCGAGGAATGGGTGCAGTCCCATTCGATACAAACCTTCAACAATATCAAGTCCCTTTGCTCGGTCGCCTCTTCGCTTGGATTCGATACGGCCACCGAACGACTCAGTGAGTGAGTATTGATTGCATTGGATATTGCGACTGTTTTCCGTGCATCGGAAGAGTGCAGCGTATTATTGTTAACAATAATGAAATATATGACTACCGAAGGCACATATCAACCATCTAGAACAACCGACCACCGGGCTTCTCCGATTGCACTGAATTGAGCTTCGCCGTCTCCTCTCACCCAAGAACCTCTGTTTCGATTGCACATCCTCTCCGTTCGATCACGATGCAGCCTGATCGATCAGTATTGCACTGGTTCCCATCATATTTCGATACCAGAGAGTTCTAATGCCTTTCCTCTCTGGAGTCTCCATGGGGCATGATCCGACTCCTTCTCTCGGCAATCTCTCCCCGCATCAGATCTGCCGCTATTGGGACCGCCGAAATTCAGAGCCGTTGCTCGTCTACGACTCTACATCCGAATGATTGCTTGAGCCATGACATACAGATAAGGCTCCTAATAAAACAAGACCTCGATTCCTAGAATAGCGGGATTCTCGTCTCGCGGAATCTCTGATTTGCAATATAGGGCTTGTAACGATTTGTCTACATCGACGTCGTAATATTGCCGGAGCTGATGTCGGAGTTCATCGCATTACAAACTTCGCTTAGGTTGGTTTTTGAACTAAAGTCTCTCGGAATCCTCGCAATCTGACATGATTATTGAACTGTGGTCTTCCCCCATGGTCTCCTGATAGTCAACGTAGTCCTGGCTCGGGGAACTCCCGGTCTGTCGGTGATTGCTGTTGTCCTCCTCATCCTCGTCGTTTCGCTCCCGGAACTCCGAGTCCTCTTTTTTGACATCCACGGTTCCGTTCGGCAGCTTTTGTGGGTTCTTGGCGACACCGACAACATTGAGGGCGGCCACTTCATCGTTGCCTTGCTGCTTCTTGCAGAATTGGTACGGCTTTTCGTCACCGCGCATGTCACAGATGACATTCGTCAAGGCCATTATGTAGTTTTTGGCAAGGGTGAGGGTTTCGATTTTTGAAAGTTTGCGCTCCATCGCCACGTGGGGGATGACCTCTCGTAGGGCTTGGAAGGCGTCGTTCAAGCTGTGCATCCGCATGCGCTCGCGTTCATTAGACTCCAGCCTCCGTAAGTTCCGTTCGCGTGAACTTAGCGTGGTTTTCCGTCTCCTCCCAGCAGCGTCGTCGGCCTTGTCCTCTTCTTCGCGTTCTCTCATCGTTCGCGCATTCTGAGTGCATCTCCGTGGCGACGATAATCGCGTTGACAGCTCCTGATTACTGCTCTGAAGGCTCGAACTCGAGTCGCCATCTTCTTCTGCAATGGGTGGACAGCTCTCGTTAGGATTCCGGATCGTTTTGGAAAAAGCTCCCGGATTGATACAATGATGACCTATAATTTCTTCGCTAATCGAAATTCCATCTCCATGGTGATATCTATTTAGAAAAATATATATTCTCCAGAATGTCTCGGTCGCATCCGATGTTCGATCTGGATTATTAGACTCAATTAATAATTGAGTTGATTAATTAATTCGGGACATCAGACTCAAAATCCCTATCGGAAGTGAACAGAGGGCACCGGCGACGAAAGTCTCGGACAGCTTACCTGTGAGTAAAGCTCTTTTTGACGCGCTGGGGGTCGTGTCATCTGAAGATACGGAGCTTACAGACCCAGCTTTGTTTGGCGTTGGGGGTTTATTCGATGTCAACTGTGCCAAAAGTCGAGACAACGGCGGTTGAGCCTCTCCTGCCCATTCCCCGCTGAGTGGATGCTCAGACTGGACCTCGTCTCGTGACCTCACCATCTGAAATGATCATCGCCTTCGTGACGCGCTTTGATTTTGGATTTGATGATAAGTGTCTGATCCTGGTTCCATTTATGGAACGCAAATACGTGTGGGTATCGGAGAGAGGAGCTATCACATATAGATCAGAGCCGAAGTTTGTAGTCAACCTGCAGGAAGGAGCTCCAAAGAAGATGGTCTGCGTAGCCGCAAAGGAGGGAAGTCTTAATTAGGCCAGCGAGAATTCACCGCCAGTGCCGGATCCTGACTGCTTCGCGACAGGCGAGCGCTCCAGCTACGGTTCCGATTGTCGAGAAAGACTGGGAGGAATATCTATGACGCTGGAACTTCGTACCTTGCGGCGGGAGGAGCGAGACCAGATCAGGCCCAGCATCGACTAGTTCGGATACGCGCTGGAATCCGCTCTTCCAATCTTGGAACCACAGCGAAACAATCTTTCTATCGGAACTGAGCGTTCCTCCTCCAGAAAACACGCTGGAGACTCCTGCCAGCGCGCTCTGGAGATTCTGAGTCACTACCAGAGCCTTCTCCATCCGGGCGATCCGGAGGATCCCTCAGATATCATGGCCACATGTAACGACATGATAAATCGGAGCGATTGATTGACCGTGTAGAAATTCCCGTGTCTGATGCACCAATACATTTCGTGGAAAACCTACACGGATGCCCCGTATAGCTCCATTTTCGAGCGTTCGAGGCGAAGATCGTGTGGAATAATGTCGGTGTTCTCGCGATAATTCGAGGCGATCGATACCCTTCAAAGGGAGTTTCGCCGCAGATCCTCATAGATAAGGGGAGGTTGAGGAGATGTTGGACCCGAAGAATTAACACGGACAGTGGTTTCACCTCTCATAATACACGGGAAGTGTTCCGATGCGGCAAGGACGGATTCAGACATTCGAAATTGGTCCGCGCGGCTCCTCCCGACGAACACGCTCGCAGCATTCGAGCTTTCAAGAAAAATGCTTCTGGCGGTGTTGTGCAGGGGAGCGTGGTCACGTGTGCAGAAGACACCGTGAGTATCCACTCAGCACTTTGCGGCCAGAAGAAGAGCAATGAGGATCCCACGCAAAAAATGGTCATCGTTGTGAACCGACTTATCCTCCCAAGTCAGTCAGGCGTCCCGAGGATCCGGAATCTCTCGGAAACCAATCTTCGAACCCTGTAGTCCCAGCTTGAGGAGACGGAAATAAGGGAGAACAATTACCTTTTTGGCACTTTCTTCACGCGAAGCCGGGGCTCGAGATTAGCCGATCTCCCTCGATCTCTCCTTTATAGCTGTAATGACGGTCGCATACCTCCTGGAAGAAGAAAAAATAATTTGTCAAGGCCTCGAAATATTGGGTCCCGAAAACGACGCGCTGGTCCCGATTTCCTTCCAACATCGTCATATCGATCATCCGAAGCTTCTTTCTTATACTTCGAGAGAAGTTATCCAATATTGTCTCTCAGAACTCAGCTGGACAGCCACGTGTCGACATAAGGAAGCACTCCGATCCCCGGAAGTTTGCACGGCGACAATTTTCTCGCGCAGTTAACGCTTGTGTAGTTAACGATGTAACTACTTTTCTCTTCTATCCAGGGGAGCCGTAATAAGGCTCCAGCAAATGGCCGCCGGAAAAACTTGATTACCCTTTTTCCACGATTATTCATCATTTCTGATGATAACGACCTTCACACAGCGGACGGGCCTTCGACCGTTATCTGCGTTCATCTAGGTAAGTTGTCTAATTGAAGCAAGTTGCACTTACGAAGGTGGACGTCGTCCAACGCTCCCGGCTGTTGCGCCTGGTTTCTGAAGGATCCGTAAACATACCGTACAGAAAGCAAAAATTTCTGAGGCTGCTCATTCACCCTCTGACTCTTGCGACGAATGCAGCTTTTAAGATCCGCTGCCTAGATCTTATGATCCATTCACGACCCATATTCCCGTCGATTTTCCCTCGATCTACTCCCCGCTTTCGAATGATCTCCCCCGGCGGAAAAAATTGCCCCCGACGATGATCATCCAGCTAACGGTAATATATGGGTTCGGGAGGATCACGAGCAAGATCCGAATCGGTTTCGCCGCCCCCCTTGTTCTTGACCGCTCGCGATGGTGGCTCGATGGTGCAATTTTACGTGGACATTGATGGTAAGAAAAAGGACCAAGTAGCAGGAAGGAGAAAGCCATTGAGACCAGCAGCTTACAAGACGAGGTTAATTATTTGTAGTCAGTGTGTGACTGCGCCGCTTCACTTGAGTGCCCAGGAAACCCCTGTTCTGAAACAGAGCAGAACCGCAGCTTGTAAAATCTCGGGCAGCAAGGCCCGTCGTGTTCGTGGTGCAAATGTGATCCCCACGGGCTGGTCAGTTCGATTCGTATTGATCCCACTGCGAGCCAGTGCTTCGGTGAGCCGGGCGGACAACTCGACCGACGGGAATTCGCTGTCGATTCCGGTCGCTGTCGCGTGACTGACGAGGTAGTAGCGCTAGCAAGCTAAACTTCGTGTTCCTAAAATACTTCGCATTGAATCGAGATGGGAGAGTCTGGAACGAAGGAAGATAATTCATCGCCTCTTCCTTGATCTACATCTCTCCTTAGGGCATTATCCCATTGAATTTCTGAACTGTTTCTTAGCCGTAAACTGCTCCCCTTAGGGTCTTCCGCAAGTGTTCTGGTCAAGCTTTCATCTGATGGAAACAGAAAATCCAAGCGAATTAGGAGTCGAGACGACAGCAAAAAAATCGCGATCAGAGGAGCCTCTCCTCGGTCTCGAGAGAGCTGCGCGAACTTGCAGAACCGCAAGATGGGAGGAATGGTAGTCGGCTCACACGAAGAATCAGGAGGGAAAAACTGGTTTGACGCGAAAAATCGGACCCGAGCCGAACGGAAAAGAAGTCTGAGAAAGACATCGGACAAGCACCGGCAACGCCTCTCCGGAACCGATCACGGCTAAAGAGAACCGACCACTTCACCTACTTTTGGTACGCTTCTGAAGCAACGGAATTCGACTGCATACCATCGCTAGCGGGATCGGTGTGGGAAAGAACGGACAACGAGAGACCAAAAATTTCTTTTCTCTGCAGGCAAGTGAAGCCTGAGACGAGGCTCCGAAAAAACTCGCATCCGACCCCTCGAGACTATCCATGCGGAGAATTCGCGTTGCGAGCCGATTCTCGTGTTCCGGATGGTCCATGTCAGTGGATCGAGGCTCGTCGTCAGGGGTTTCAACAATAATTTGGAAGCAGTGCATCCGCGTGTTTTCAGTCGCGCAAGCGGCGAGCTCGTTTACGTGTGGCTGACACGGAGGGAGGACGCGATACGTGCGCGATCCCGATAAACGAGGTCCTAGAGTCGCGCAATGTATTGGCCCCGCGCTTTCGAGAGCGGTACGTCTCCGATTCTCGCAGAACTTGCTCGAAGGCATATCTCTTCCGTGCGTCATCGGCGCTCTGAAGCTCTGCAAACAATGAGAACAACGCCGATCTAATGTACTCAGACCTTGACATAAGTATCGTGAGTGGCAGTGGATTCGTTCCATCGAACCGTTGCCTTGCTCTCACGCCTCAATCTCTGACGCAGGATGGATTGAGGGGAGAAGGCAAGATACGGCGGGGACGCTCGAACTGTTAGTCCCTCGGGCGACGCGAGCTCTGTTCAACGCAGACGCATTCTGCTTAGGCCGATTCTCAGGTGATGTGTGGCCCCCGGAGATTTGAGACGCGATGGTCGAAAGATGATACCACGGACAGGGGAGAAGGAACGGACGCCGAAGAGCTGATGCCCTGCAGCACCATCCGTCGTTTACCGCTATTGGTCGCCACAGAGACCGGTTCCGAGCGAAACTCCTGCCGTTGCGGGCATCGGAAGCGCCACTGTGATCGCGTTGGTTTGTTGCTTCAATGGGAAATTCCGAATTTCCCTATTTTCTTTTCTGCGTCAACGTCGTGAGCCACTCGGTCATTTCACTCCGCCGGTGGCCACCCGTCAGACGGCTACCGTTAGGAGCGTGGAGCCGCACTCCTATCATCCTCGTCGTGTCCATCATTATCATCATCCACCTCTTCATTTTCGGCGCGACCAAGAGTTTCCAGCTGATCCAGCCCCAGCTACGAAATTCCGCTAAACATTCGCAAACATTATCACGTCGACCATTTACCCGCCATCAAGGGTTGCCCCGCATTTCACGTGGCAACACGAGCGATATCGCTCCGGGACGCTACGACGCTCACGACTGGAATCTGTTGACTTCGTATGTGCGATTATAAAATCACAAGGCGCACTTCCGATACCATAGCGAAAACCTCCGGTGCGTGTTTTAGTATGCCTGTCGGTACCTCTACGAAAGAAGCGAAAGTTCCGTCTAGTGCTTCGCGACGGCGATCGCCGAACACAATGGAACGTCAACGACTTTCGGATATTCTTGGACGGTCGGCGGAACAGCACTTTTGATCCCGGAAGCGGGCTTATTTCATTCTTTTTCGATCTTCTGATTTGAGCAACGGCTAGTTTCTTCGACTCGCGATGGACTTCGATTCCATCCCCGGCAGTCAGAGGTCCGATTCGCGATGAGTCGCAGCTCGCTCTAAGCCCGCGAAGCGGTGCGCTCGATCCCGTGGCTCCTGTCCGAGCATCTTCGTTCAACTTCGTTTCTCGCCGAACACTGAAGCTTCGTGTACCCCATTACGAGCTACTTTGTGTCAGTCGGTCAGGCTTTCGCCCGCAGCCCGAGCTCTTCAGTGAACGAGCTTGGGCATCGGGTGAGGGTTCAGGAAGCGGGTAGGAAACAGAAATGAATCATTGCCGAAGTTAGCGGGGCGGGAGCTGAACAATGTTCTTCCTTCTTTCGTCCATCCCCACGTCTGTCTGGCCGTAGCTCCAAGCTCGTTCCTGACATTCTAGCGACGAGAACCTGTATCCGTCAAGAGATTTACAAGCACAAGCTGATGCGCCGATATCGGAAAGCGTTAATAAGAGACGCGCGGTTCACGGTTCAGCTCACAATCAACTAACGTCGCCTCTCCGGATGGTGATCGGCTGGAACCCGAATGAATAGACCAATTATTTATCTAACACCTAAACGCTTCCCGAAAGCCGGCGCGACAGATTCCCAGGCTCCATGACGACGGAATCGAGGAAGTACCTCCTCGAAACACTTGCTGACGAATCACCCTTGTCAGCGGTTCTAGCAGGACATGGGACAGGGATAGCCACGCCCCGCAGTATTGGTGTTCGGCGTTGCATTGGGTTCACGAAATTTGACATATATCAGTTTTTTTTCTCTCTGAAGGCGCGGTTCAGGGACAGCAGTCAGCCGGTGCCTCGCTCCGTCTCCATCGCTGCCTATTTAATGGACAGCGTATTTTGGAAGCACGATTATCTTCTGCGTCGGGGGACGCATATCGTGGTCGGAGCCTCCGACACGGCCGCGGTCGCCGAGCCAGAGACGCGAAATTCCCCTGGTTATCGAAGCACCTGAATAAGCAAGAGAAACCGAGCGATTCGATATCTAAACCGACAAGTAGGCGAACCGCGCGAGTAGTCGATGGATAAAGCTATTCGACGATGTTAAGTAACCAATGCGAGTGCTTCGGCCGTGTTCAAGGATCTTCAAGCGTGCGCTTGGCAAAGCAGTTCGGCCCGACGCAAGGTCCCGCGCGCTATTCGCCGTCAGTCACAGGGTCCACGGCACAGGGCTTACTTTCACACGGACGCCCGCCTGCTTGAAGAAAAATCGCTACCCTCGCATCTGATAACTTCCACCGGTATGAAGTTCGATTCGAGATTGGGCAATGTGGCGAAATTCTAGTGTTTCAAGTTTGGTAGGACAATGAACGCTCCTCTTATCGAGAATCGGATCTGCGGTTGAGATCGACTACTAAGGCCACTCCAGACGGCTCTAAAAAAAGGGCCCGACTCCATCCAATGGCGGGTAGTTCTGATTCTAGGGGTTCGGGGTGGATGTGATTGTCGATTCGGATTCGAGACTCGACACTTGGCCTACCTATTCCGCTCGAAGATTTGTGCTACTCAAGTCTACGGGGAAATTGAACACGGTGGTAGGAAGGTCAGAGTCCTTCGGCTCAACAATCGCCCTGATCCGAGCTTCGGATTCACCGAATTCATACGACAGTTGCGTTTTTCACGACCGACGCGGAGACTTGTGAGTTCCCAACCCTCTCCGTCGAGAGACCAGGAACCCCTTCATCACTACGTTGGGAGCTTCTCGACTCATTCGATTTCTTTAAGCAATCATCATTCCGTCCTCTTGAGTCAGTTCGTTCGTATGTTCCTGGAGCTTGTGAACATCCCATAGC